ACATATTTCAAGAGATTTGTACAGAAGCCATGTAAAGAAGATGGAGATATGTATTAAGGCAGCTAGAAGTCAAGCAGGGGAACAATGGTACTGCCTGCTTCTCTACTGGTAATGAGCAAGATAAAAAAGAGGCAGGAAAGCTCCTGGCCTCCTGGCATGGAACTGGGGTTCTGTTGCATTCAGCTGCACAGCAGGGGGTCTATAAGTCCTAAAGTTCCCAAATTCCAGGTTGGCCCATTTGGCATAGCTACCGCAGAGCCATGGATCCTAGAAGCCTGGGTTCCAGAGTAGCTTGCTGGGCAAACTTTTCACTTTTAATTAACTGGCATCATCCTCTGATGAAATCCCGTTTTGCTGGAAAATGCCTGGTTAGCTCTAGATGCAAGATGGTTAATGTAAGGACACCTAGCTACAAAGAGAGAATGCAGGGAATACAACATGGGGTCTTGCAAAGTGGTAACTCTGAGACTTAGTGACAATAATGGAGAATCTAGGGAACATGATTTCTTTAATGCAACCCTGTGGCTAAAAGGGTTAATGTGATGTAAAAGGAGGACCAATGAGTAAAAATAAGGTGGTTCTGTTAAAACTGCGTTGGCAATAGTACAACCTCTACTGTTTTAATTTCTGGTATTTATACTTCGAGAAAAATGTTAAAAAACTAGAGAGGGGTCAGGGAGATTGACATATTTTTCTTATTAAAGAAAAAATGGAAGAGCAATTTGATAATATATTAACAATGACCCATTGTTACGATTTGACAAGGGTTATGATTCACCACCCCTGAGAATTTTAAAATTAAAACATTAAATATAAAATAAGAAATATTAAAACATTTTTAAATATTTTAAAATTCTCAGGGACGGTGAATCTATCACAATCTATCACAACTAGCTTTTAACATAATAGATAAGCTCTAGTTCAATGACAGCCCTGGACTTGAAGCAAGAATTCAGAAAATCCTAAAAGTGCATGGCCTTTGTTATGCAGTAGATCAGTCTTAAAGATCAGAAGAATCCCTTTCCATCTTAAATCTGTTGGGCCAACTCTTTCTAAACAACTGGTGGTTTACCAGCCACAATTTGGGAATACCTGGCTCCTGTTTATTAGACTTACCACTTACATAGCATAATCTACATACACATGTTTTTTCATGAAACTAAAAAATCAAGAATTTTTGTTGTCAGCTTTTAAGATAGTGGGGACTTTCACACACAACTCTATGATGTAAAAAGAAGGCTAAGCACATTGTTTGACCAATGATAATATTACATGACTATGATTGAAGCAACAAGTTGCTTATCTGAAAAGGTTAACTAAGAAGCACAAGAGAACATATTGTAGTCATAAATAATAAGATCAAATCTATGAACCAAAAGTATTTTGTAAGTTTAAGTCTTCTAAAGGGATTTCTATTTTATTTTTATATCAACATTTTCTCTGTTGTACTTATAAACTATTAGTATAACTTTACATAATTCTAACACATGATTTTCATTTTCTTCAAAGTGTGGTTCTTACCTACAAAGTAACTTTAAAATATAATGGGAGGATTACATGTTTGCCTCTTCTCTATTTCGGAAATTTCACAAGCCAAGATGTACCTTTACTTTTGTAGAACACCCGGTAAATTATTTTGTGGTTCTTAAAGTAGGCCAGAGTATAAACAGACTTTATTGTGAAGTGATATAATTTTGCTCAAATTGTGTTCCTCCATCTATAAGCTAACTCTTCAAGGAGATATGAAAATGTGTGTGTGTCCAGAACTCTTAATAAAGAACAAGCTTGGCATTCCCTTTTTTAAGCACCTGTTTTGGCTATTTGCTGTTGCAAGGTCTCTATAATCTCTCTGAAGATTAATGGCATCAAGCAAGCACCAATTATGGGTAATGATGCGTTGGAAAAAAAACAATTTAGTTTGATTTTCAATTCTAGTCTAGTTTGGATTGCAAGTAGTTAGTATTTACTTGGAAACTCAGTAACCATGTTATGGACAGCAGGTAAGGAACCTTAAAACAATATTTTTCAGTACAAAGTCTAGTTCATTGTAAGAGAGCAATGAAAAATGTTAATACAAGAAAAACCAAGCCATAAATGAACATATGAAGAGGTATTTCTAAATCCACCACAATCCCACAGAAAGAAAAATTCTACTTTGAACAAAAACCATCAATTTTCCTTTTATAACAACATTTGTTTTTTAAGGTTCCTTGGACGGATTTGATTTCTGCTAGTGCTGCCTAGAGAAATTTAGGTGTGGGTTCCAGCTTTTAAGCACTTTCAAACTCAAGTGCTGTAAGCTCACAGAAGAATTTGAGAGACAAAACTGTCTTCACCAACATATATTTCTGTGCTACATGATTTTTTTTCTATTCCACTCATTATTACTCACAGGTGGTAGTGTAAGCATTTAATTTGTATTACCCTAAGAGTGATATTGCTCACAGTGGATGACTTAAATATGTCAGCAGTAGAAAAGGCACATACTAAATATACTATGCACTGGGGGAAAAAAGCAAAGCACATTCCCTCTTACTATGGATTCTGTTATTTAATTTATACAGGAGGAGTAGTTTTCTGCCATGCTTATAACACCTTTCCCAGACTCTCATGCACTGCAGAACTGGAAGAAGCCCTAAAATCGACGGACCAGATACTCAACTGGTATAAACTGACCTAGCCACGTTGATTTCCATTAAGTTACTGAACTTACAATTTGATGAAGAAGACCTTTCCTATAGTACTGTAACTGGGCTGGAAACAAATCTCTTATTTGAGGTGGTCTTGACTGATTCAAGTCAAAACCTGGGACAAAAGAGGTGCAGCACAGCCCTTTACACACACAGCCCTTCCAAGCTGTGTTACTGCTCCTGTCCATAGGTTCTAGAGAGAATGCATACCCTGACAAGATCGTCTCTGGAATGACTGATACCTAACTTGAACATGCTGCAGTTAACTTAGAGAAGTATGCGGCGTTGTCTCAGAGAATGTGTTAGCACGTTTTCTCTCCCATACCTCACAGGTACTTGAAGTGTGACAATCAACTTGTATGTCCATAGGATCTAATGTGTGTATGTCTACAGATATCTACAGGATGTCTATAGGACAAAAGGGTTTCTCCCAGGAGAAATGCAGTATCTATTTATACCCTTGGGCAGCAATTCTCAGCCAGGGTGCTGCTGCACTCTTGGATATCTTAAGATCCTTTCAAGGGTGCCACAGGCTGCCATGCAGAATTAATGCTAAGCGTGCAAACATGATTCACAAGATAAACCCAGAGTTCAAACAAAAATCCACAGTGTTATAAATACTCTGGAGTCTTGAGGCATGTCCAGACGAGCACAGACATGCAATATGTGGCACTGCAGACCTGTATGATGCTACACACTGCATGTGCAGGTGTTCCCGGCACTGCTACTTTGACCCTGGGAGATCCCAGGGTCAAAAAAACCCATGCCAAAAAAAAAAGTAGGGTGGCACTTGTGGCAGCAGTGGGTGCTGCCCAAAACCAGAGCCTGGCCAGCTGGAGCCACACTCCAGCTGCTGGCCAGCATTACTGACATGGCTGACATTCCCAGATGCCCCTAGGTAAGGCTTCTGGGGCCAGCACAGTTGCTGGCCCCAGCCTCCCCTACCCAACCTGCCGGACATCAGAGCACATGTAGCACGGGCGGTCCCCAAGGACTTCAACAGCGGCACAAGGTGTGCTGCTGCTACTTGTCTCCAGGGAAACAAATGTCTGCGCTCATCTGGATGTGGTCTTGTGGTTTTTCTAAATTCTCTGTAATAGAATTGCTATATTATTCTACAACCAAAAAATGAGTGAAAACTAAGAGCTGGCATTTTCCAATAGGAGCTTTAAGTATAATAAGATTGAGAACCACTGCCCTAGGAGAACAGGTCACCTGTTTCTTCCTAGTCTCCCTGGCCCTTTATCTGCTATGAACACATTTTATCACAGCAGAAACTAGGACCAGGCCACAATACCAACTTCTATAACATGCTGACATACTAAATTATGGCCTCATTGCCAATGTAAGAAAATAACTACAATTAGTTTGATTATTTTGCTGTAGAGCTTATTTATCTCCCCCTTGGAGAATGCTGTAAGCCTAAGAAGCTTATTTTTGTCATGTGCCTCCTACACTGAATTCATAGTTCTTTTACTCACAAATAAAAAAGAAGTTATGAATACATTTATTTTCCTCCATTAAATGTACCCAAGTGATTAGGTAATAATTAGAAGTAATTCATTTCAAATTAATGTATCAAAGAAGAAAAGAACCCCATGGCACAGGACTAATTGCTGGTCGAGTTTCACTTTTCTTCATAGGTATGTTTTTCTGGTCTGGCATCTTGTATCAGGCTTACACATGCAAGTATTTATTATGGGTAGGAAAAAAGGGTTAAAGGGTACCAGTCTACAACACTGTGCTTCTTCCTCACAAATTCTCCATTTTTTGGACTTGCCTAAAAATAACATTTTATATTGAATTTTAATTTCAGCATCATCTCTGATTCAGGTAAATGCAGCTACAAACTTTAAGATCCTTATTTATTCACAGTGCAGAGGAAGTTTTTTCTGCTACTTTTATCTTTCATTTAAAGGTAGTATTATAGAAATGTGCCTATAATGAGATCCAGCATGCACAATCACAGTGAAATGTATGATGGAATGGAAATAACTAGCCAATCAAATTGCTCCTCTTTTCTTGCCCTATGTGAAGGCTGGCACAAATCAAGATGCTACAGTCCATTTCAAACATAACTCCCATTAGGAGAATCATGCAAGTTTAAACAAAATTGTATATGTTCTTTTCCCATTCTGTGATGTTAAAATTAGAGTTCTGAGAGACAGACTGGGAGTCCATTTATAGTCAGAACAATGAAAAATGCAACAGTGTAAGACTGAAAAGGCCTCCATGGCAATATAAAAAGTAATAAGATAATTTTTCAACATCACTAGAGAACAATGAGTCTTGCTTGTTATTTTTACTCACATGGTACAGTGTAGTGTCTGGCCCAGGCGTGCCCATGACGTCTTGTCTTAATGAATCCATTTGCAAACTAGGTAGCAAGGAGTAATGGCTTGGACTGTTACTTTTATCCCCCTTCTTTTTGGACTTTTTCCCTGTATCCTTTTTGCTATTCCTTTGAAACATGTAGTCTTCTTGACCTATTTTCTCATTGCTCATGTAACGCAGTAATGAATTTTCTATTAAAAAAAGAATGAAAGACTATATTGTAAATCATAATATACATGGCAATCCTTGCTCTAAAAATGTATCGCACTTTTCCATTACCACGCTTTATGTTAATTAAAAAAAATTCCACCCTATAAAACACAATGCAATTCAAAATTATTTCTTTTGGGGGTTAGTACAGCATAGGTCATGGACAAGCATAACAGTTATACCATTAACATATAATACCAGTATAAGCTATTCCAATATAACTGTTATATCTGGATGAACCTATACTAATGTAGTGTAAAATCAATGAAATTGTATCTTGTTTTATTCAGGGTTAGAGTTATGATAATTTATCTCATTTATATGGCTAAAGTAGCATCCAGATTTAACAGTTAACCTGGAACAGCTAATGCACACTCTCGAGTCCTGCCTTCCCTTTTAAAGCAAGTTATATTTATGTCTGTCCACAGCCACAGTAACAAGTTTTTTGAGACGGAGAGAGATCAACATTCTTGTCACTAATGGGGCTAGATTTAACGCACAGGCAAACTAGGGGTTCTGAGCTGTGGCGGCAGTGCAAATGGCCCCCTCTGCCTCCCCTCCTCTCTCCTCCCTTCCCCTCTGCCTGCCTTGCTGCTGTGGTAGCTGCTTCCTAGCAGTGGCTACACACCCGACTCCCTGAAGGCAGCAGTGCCTGGGTGGGGAGGGAGGTCTTGACCAGCACAGGGCTCACTACAGAGTTAAGCCAGCCCTGGTCACTACTCCAGAACAGTAGTCAACATGCCGCCCCCCTCCCCTCAACACCCTCTGGGGTCTCTTCCTTTTAAATAAACAGAAAATAATGTATTATTACATCTGAAATACTGCTCTTGGAAGCAATGTTCTACATGAAACTGGATCAAAGATGGCTGAGAAAATGAACATTTTCCAAGTAACACGTGTTGATTATTCATTTTATTTTGGTCTCTTTCTTGTTTATACCACTGTTGTCTTGTAACAATATTTAGACTGAATTTTTCTTAGTCCATCGTTAAAATTAAGATTAGCAATAGCTAAGCCTCAGAACATCAACTGCCAATTGTGCACATACATCACAGTGACAGAATAGAACTAATGTGTAACAGTACTGGTCTTTTGCTGGATTATATGCAATTCAAAACAGGCATCACAATTCTACCTATTGTACCAGTGCTTTGCATACTGGCCAATGGGTGCCATTGTGATAAAACTGCTATTCAACAACAGCCACCCTTTCAATATGCAATGAGACTGCCTCAGATTCAATAAAGGGGTAACAAAGTGAAATTCTGTAGCTATACAGGAGATTGGAATAAAAGACCCAATATTTTCATTCTGGCCTTAAAATCTATTAAGTGGGCAAACACCAGAAAAGTGCCAATGAACCTCATGAGATTTTTGGGGAACTTTTCAACTCTGAACTATTTCTAGTTAGTCCTTTCAGAATGCTTGACAACCAAAAAAAAATCTATCAGGACAGGCAGATTTACAATTTAATTCTCACTTCACTATGTATTACAACAGGAGAACAAATTAACTTTTGTATATGATATTTTAGGGCCAATTTCAAAGGACAAAATGTTTAAACAATCAGATATCAATGTAATTAAGCATGATCAAACTAAACTGGGAGGAAGTGTGTAACCACAATTCTGTTTTTCCAGCTCTCCTGAACAACTTCTCCAGTTCCACTCAAGGAAACCCAAAGATGAGCAAAATAAAGTACAAGTGATAAAAAAATAGGAATATCACTAGAATATGTTGACAGATATCCACATTTTAAATGAGAAGTGATGTAAAAAGAACTCATTGTTATTTATAGTCTTGCACAAAATTAGTGTCCCAAGTCACTTACCTCTCCTACTATCTCTCTTTATTTTATTGGGATCTTCATAGTCCCCTACCCAATTATATTCCACTGGCATAGAAATAGGTCTTAGCTTGCCTAGAACAGAGAAGAAACTAGTGTCAAGATACCTTTAAACTGAAAAAAAAAACCTATTTCAAAGGAAGCTAACTATTAATATTTTAATTCTACAATGTAGACAAAAATCCAGAATATCCCATGTACAAAAGATGAAAACAGGGGTTTGTTCAGTCCATTACTGTGGCTCAAGGGGAAGTTAAACATTCACAGAAATTTTTAAGTAGTTTAAGAAACAAACCCATCACCCTAACAAAATCCTCTCTCAGAATCGTCTTTAGACTTGAGGTTGAGACTGAGCATCTTTCACATGCATAAAGGCTATAGACAACTTCCACATCAACATCTGCTGATTATGCTGCACAGCACTCAAAGACATACAAAGAATTATTTTATGGCCTATGTGATATGAGTTGCTCATGTAAGACCAACTGATTTAAGACATATGTCCATATCACAAAAGCATCTCCACTAATGGCATCTTTGCAGTTGGACTTGACAGATACATCATAATTGCATAAGAAAATGAGTTCAAACCTCTCGGTGTAGTCTCCAGACTCTGTATTTCACTCACCCAAAACAGCCTATTAGTACTATGAAATTCACTTGTTTCAGCAGAGAAAAACTGTCAAATTATTATTCCTCAAGTTTTAATTTGAAAGCCAAAAAATTAGTTTAAAATATTGTGAGTTACCGTTCTCCTCTTCCAAAACTACAGTGCAAAAGAAAACTTTTTTTTTCAGCTTCACTACAGCCATACTAAATCTGGCAACTGTCAAGCAGTGTTAAAGTTAGTACGTACGCAAGCAGTTGCATGTTAAGCCTTAATCCTGTTTCTTGCCTACAAAACTCTTGACTTGCTACTGGTGAGCTGGTGAGAAGGGACACGTCTCAGAGCCAAGGCACTTGGTCTCTATCCCTGCTCTGGGTTGTAGGGGCCTGGGAATGGTGTAATCTGGCAGAGCCAACTCTAGGGGTGTGGGGGGCCTGGGGCATATCAGCCTGTGCAGGGCCTCTGCAGGGCAGCAAGTGGCCAGAGTGGGGAGCAGGGTGGGGAGCAGCCAGAGCGTGAAGCCAGAGGTGCACAGCAGCCACACAAAGTGGTCGTTCCCTCTCCACATACCGAAGGCACTATCTGCAGGGCCTGTATGGCACTATCCGGGGCAGACACCCCGGCACTTAAAAGTGCAGGGCCTGGGGCAGATGCCCCAATTCGCCCCTCGCTGCAAGGGACAGCTCTGCATCCTGGGATGTTGGGAGACTGCAAATTGCTTGTTTTATCTCTGTAGAACAGACTGAAGTTATCCTAATGTGAGTTGGTAGCAGAGCCCAGAGTCTACTTTTGCCTGAAGTGGTGTAGCTTTAAGACTCAAATGGTACTTAGAATGAGTTTATGTACAGACACATATTTTAAGTGCCCTTAGTATGGTTTAAAGAGTAACATGTAACTTCACTCTATGCCCCATTCCAGTCACTGGTATTTGAAGTCACATTTAAGTGCTTTCCTGAATAGATATGTTTTTTAAGGAACTAAGTCTTTCTTATATTTATATAGCTAAGAATTCTTAGGTTTACTTCTCTGGGCCATATGCCACAGTGTTTCTTCTCTGCTGCACTGTGCTATATTGAAAAACTTACTATATAAACTAGTAGTACTTTTCACACCATCTGCAGAATTTCCATTACAGTAAAACAACAGCCCTCTCTTCTCCCCCGCAAAAAGGGTGAGAGAACAAATGTTTTCTGTTTACTAAAATTTCATATTTGTTATAACTATATTCTAATTTATTTGCCCAAATGGGCTCCTTTCCATGAAGGTAAATTTCACTTATCTTCTAGTGGCTCTGCTAGCTCCTCTTCATCAACTTACACGGATATTTTCAATCTACTATCTATGTAATGACCATGCTTCAGGAAATGCATCATTTGGGATATAAACAGAAGCTTTCAGAGGCCAATTAACAACAGTTATGTAATAGCTGTCAGTTAGTAATGGAAAACTAGATAAAGGTCTAAAACTAGAAAGACAATCCGATACAACCAAGAGTGTGCCATCAGCACAGCACAGGACATGGGGACACTCTGTAATTAAGTACAATAAATGAAGCGCATCCAATTTTAGTGGGGTAACTAAAGTTTATGTTATGTCTTAATACTTTATGGAACCATTTTATACCTCATGTAAGTGGCGACAGAAAATAAATAAAAACATTTTAAAATTAGAAGGAGAGCTGAGAATATTGTAGAACTCATGTACTCCAAGTTTTGGATCAAACAGAATCAGTGTATGGCCTCATCAGAAAAGTTACAGCTAATAGCAAGACATTGCATTTAACCACAACTGTGGCATCTGACTTGCATAAAAAAACAAAACAATCAAGCAATATTTTTCAACAAAAATATAGCCTAACCAATATAATGAGGAAAAGAGGTGATTTGAACAATTCCCTTATTTTAGTTTTACTGATTACAAATTTTGGCCTTCTCTCAGCCTCTGATCACATCATGACTATAAATGCACTATATTTTTTCATCTAAGGCAACATGTTTACCTACACTAGGGCTGTGTGAAGCTTCAGGTGCTGATTCAATATTGAGGAGATTCAGCCCGATTCGGCATCCAAATCTCCAAATCAGAATCTAAACAGGGGACCAATAAAATAGCCTGAATTGATTCAGAAAAGTTTTGGAGAGCTTACCTCCACCTGCTCTTTCAGCCCCACCAATGACTGCCGCACCCAGCCCCAGTGGCCGAGTGCTTTAAAAAAAAAAAAAAGCCCTGCACTCACCAGATGCTGCAGCAGCCATTGTGTCTTGGGGCTCATGGCAGAGCCCCCGTATAGCGTGGGGCAGTGGGGATCACACCCCCTCCCTCGGCGCCTGGCAGCAGCCAGTGAGTGCAGGACTTTTTTCTTTTTTTTCTTTTTTTTTAAGAGACAGTATGCTGGGGCCGAGCAGGGCAGCCATGGGGGGTCTGGAAGAGCCTCCCATGCACCGTAGGGCAGTGGGGGGCAGCAGGGCTTGCCCCCCAACCTGGCAGCCACCAGTGAATACGGGACTTTTTCTTTTTTTTTTTTTTAAAGAGCCAAGACGCTGGGGCCGGGTGGGGCAACTTGACTGGGCTAGGAGAGCGGGTTGGGGATGGGGCCTGTTTGATTCGGAGACTCAGCCGATTCGGTGGCGGCCGAACCTCCAAATTCGATTCAGCCAGATCAATTAAGGATAGTTTGAATCACCAAATCAAATAACTATCCCCTGAATTGGCTGAATCCGAATCTCAAGTGAATACTAGCCACATCGCACAGGCTCAATAGACACTATTTTCCTCTTTCTTTTCCCCAGTCAGAAACACCAGAAGGAAATGTGTAGATTATCTAAAGTCATATCAAGTTGTCTTGCTGCTATAATAGTTTTGTTCTAAGGCCCTCTCCAGATGTTACATTTATCATGTCATGATTGTGTTAATCATGCAATAAATTGTAACGTGCCATATGGTCAAGCAATTTATCATGCAAAAAAAATGTGAGAATGAGCCACAAAGTTATTACTCATTAAATGTGGAACACCTTTGTGGCTAGTTTATATCATACTTTAATTTGAACTCTCAGCATGTCAGTTTAAAAAGTTCAAGGGGAGACCAGACTCAGGAGCTGCTGGGAAATGATCTTTAAACTTGCTGACATACAGGGGCTCCCCATTGGAAATGGGCTCTTCAACTGCTATGCTGCCTACAAGTCCATTTAAATTTCCTAGTATGTGCAGAGTTCAGCACTGGGGAGCAGTCTATAACTAATCCCAAGTTTAAAGGGGCACATGCAGTTCAGCACTGGTGAATGGCTCCCCAGTTCTGGACTGCATGAATGTCCAGGCACGCAGATCCAGTATCGCACAATAACCTTGTGGGAAAACTGGCAGATTGTGGGTTCAGCTGCTCGATGGTTCATTGGATGGGAAAGTGGCAGGACCCAGAGAGCTCTCATGAATGGATATGTGTCATCCTAGCATGAAGTGGCCACTGGTGTCCCTCAGGGGTCCGTGCTTGGACCAGTGCTTTTCAACATCTTTATCAATGATTTGGATGGAGGAGTGAAAAGCTTGCTGGCCAAGTTCATGGACAACTCCAAGTTATGGGGCAGTGTGGTCATGCCAGAAGATAGGCTGCAGATACACGAGGACCGGACAGGCTTGGGAGTTGGGCAGACAGGAACCAGATGTTTAATACTTCCAAGTGTAAGGTGCTCCATTTGCAGGCAAACAACCCTCAACATACATACAGGCTTAGTGGCAACAGCTTGACTTGCACCACATCCGAAAGGGACTTAGGGGTAATGATAGACCATCGCATGAATATGAGCCATCAGTGCAAAGCGGTGGTCAGCAGGGCAAATAACACACTGGCATGCATCAACCGATGCATCTTGTGTAAAACTAAGGATACTCCCACTGTACTCAGCACTGGTGAGACTGCAGTTGGAGTACTGCATCCAGTTTTAGGTGCTGCACTTCAATAAGGACGCGGAAAAATTTGAGAGGATCAGAAAAGAGCCACCCATATTATCAGGGACTTGCAAGACAAGCCATACAAGGAAAGGCTGAAAGATCCAGATGTTACATTTATCATGTCATGATTGTGTTAATCATGCAATAAATTGTAACGTGCCATATGGTCAAGCAATTTATCATGCAAAAAAAATGTGAGAATGAGCCACAAAGTTATTACTCATTAAATGTGGAACACCTTTGTGGCTAGTTTATATCATACTTTAATTTGAACTCTCAGCATGTCAGTTTAAAAAGTTCAAGGGGAGACCAGACTCAGGAGCTGCTGGGAAATGATCTTTAAACTTGCTGACATACAGGGGCTCCCCATTGGAAATGGGCTCTTCAACTGCTATGCTGCCTACAAGTCCATTTAAATTTCCTAGTATGTGCAGAGTTCAGCACTGGGGAGCAGTCTATAACTAATCCCAAGTTTAAAGGGGCACATGCAGTTCAGCACTGGTGAATGGCTCCCCAGTTCT